TCTGATTCTATTATATTCACCAGTTAATAGTGTTCATCAGATTTTTTAATTCCCTTGGTTTTTAGATTCACTTGTTGATAGCTATGTATTTGTTGATCATAATTTTTATCTTTATCTTCTTCCTCTTCCTAAAGAACCCCCTTCAGCAATTCATATAATTCTGGTTTGGTGGTGATGAACTCTTTTAGCTTTTTTTTTATTTGTGAAGCTCTTTATCTGTCCTTCGATTCTGAGTGATAGCTTTGCTGAGTAGATTAGTTTTGGCTGTAGGTTCTTGCTATTCATCACCTTGAATATTTCTTGCCATTTCCTTCTGGCCTGCATCGTTTCTGTTGAGAAATCAACTGACAATCTTATGGGTGCTCCTTTATAGGTCACTACCTGCTTTTCTCTTGCTGCTTTTAATATTCTCTCTTTGTCTTTTGCTCTTGGAATTTTAATTATGATGTGTCTTGGTGTGGTCCTCCTTGGATTCCTTTTGTTTGGGGTTCTGCGGGCTTCCTGGACTTATAAGTCTATTTCTTTCCCCAGGTGGGGGAAGTTTTCTGTCACTATTTCTTCTAGTATTCTTTCGGTATCTTGCTCTCTCTCTTCTTCTGGAATCCCCATAATTCTGATGTTGGTTCGCTTGAAATTGTCCCAGAGGTTTCTTACACTATCTTCAACTTTCTGGATTCTCTTATCTTCTCCCTTCTGCAGAGGAGTGTGCTCTGGCTCTTTGTGTTCTAAATCTTTGTCTTGATTCTTGCGATCTTTCAGTCTGTTTTTAGGACTTTGTATAATATTTTTTATTTCAGACAATGTTTTCTTCATTTCTAGTTGATCCCTTATTATTTCTAGTTGCTCCCTTTTCATATCCTCAGAGGTCTCATTTATTTTATCGGCCTTTTTTAGGATATTGTTGAATAACCTTATAACTGTAGTTTTGAACTCAATGTCCAATCTTTTCTTTTCCTCCATCTCCTTCCTTTGTGTCCTTCTTCTTGTCTGCATTTTAGTTGTTTCCCTAATTTGATGGAATAGTTTTGTGTGCTAGGTGTTCTGGTAGAGCCCAGTAGCACAGCCTTCCCAGTTACCTGCAGTGGGCAGTCTTGGTGTAGCCCTTTGTGGGCTGTGTGTGCAGTCTTGTTGTTAAGCCTTGCTTATTGTTGGTATCCCTGGGAAGCATTGATCTCCAAGCCAATTGGCTGTGAGGATCAGCAGTGTCTCAGCTAGGAGGGCTTCTGTATAGGGCAGGGTCTCGGGATGACACAGACAATCTTTGGTTCCCTGTCAGTCTCGCCTTAGAAAAGTCCTGTTCATGGAGAGTTTCGGAAGATTGGTTGCTGGCATGCGCACCTCTTTGGTAAAGGCACAGACAAGCTTTGGATTCCGGCCAGTCCCTCCTTAGACAAAGCCAGCCTCTGGGAGAGCTTCTGTGCTCAGCCACAGATGGGCGGAGTCCGGGGTGGTGCAGACAAACTTTGTTTTCCCTTCGGCTCCTCCCCAAGTCCCGCAGTAATGGCCTCTGGCTTCACACACCTCCAAGAGATCTCTGCCCGCTGTCTGACACTCTGGCCTCTGCCTGTCTGGGGCCATCTATCAGAGCAATAGGGTGATTCTGTTTTCCTCTCGAACAAGAAAGCCAGCCGTGGATTAGCTGTTCGTCCTCTCCGCACGTCAGGAGTAAGCCAGTAGCAAACTCAGCCCAGCCTGCCCTCTCTGCGCACCGGGAGTAAGCCAGCAGCAATCTCGGTCTGGTCCTTCCTCTCCACATCGGGAGTAAGCCAGCGCCTTTTCGCGCACACAGTTCTCCGTACCTTCACAGTTCCTGAAGTTTAGCGTGCCTTCTCTCTCCTTCCCAGATGGCAGAGCCTCCTCTCAGTAGCCGTCCAGGATCCAGTTTAGCATTGTTCTGAGCACAGAGGAGGCAATGCTGAGAGACTGAGACACACAAGAAGGATAGACAGGAAATTAGTTAGTACCTGCCTAACAAAGCTTCTAGGGCAGCCTTTCCTAAATGAGTTGAGTTCATACCTTATGGGCTAACTGTTCTGGGACATAAACCCTATGATTTGGGAGTATCCATCAGTCTTCCATTGTTCTCTTGCTCCCTTCTTTCTGGGCCCATTCCTCTTCCTGGGGAGTGTATTTTGGAGGTTCAGGTAATTTGGGTGCCAACATGATTCGTGCTAATGCTTTGTTCTTTATCAGCCAGCTTGGCTGTGGCGTCAGCATTCTAGTTTCCTTCTGATACTGAGAGTCTTTTCCTTTCTGCTGACCTTTGCAATGGGTGAAGGATATTTCCTTAGGCTTACAGACTGTTTCTAGTAACTTTAAAATCTCATTCTGATTTTTTATTCCTTTTCCTCCTGCTGTCAAGAGCTCCCTTTCCTTATATATGGCCCCATGGACATGCAGGGTAGCAAAGGCATAAGTGAGTCAGTGTAGATATTGGCATGCTTATTCTTACTGAGTACTGGGGCTCTTACTAGGGCCCCAAGTTCTGCCCTCTTTACTGACCATCCTTCAGGCAGGGCCTGTGCTTCAGTTGTCTCAAAGTTTGATACCACTGTATATCCAGCTTATCTTTTTCCTTCATCTAAGAAGCTGCTGCCAACTGAGTTTTGCAGGAGCCTATCCCTTAGGTCTGATCAGGTGGAATAAACCTCCTCTAGGACTTTCCAGGCCATCATGCTCAGGGGCCCCCTCAGCAATGGGTAGAAAGGTGGCAGGATTAAGTGTACTCACTACTTCTAATCGTACCCTGAGATTTCTCATAAAACAGCCCTTGATACTGAGTCATTCGAGCATGAGTCAGCCAGTGCTGCCTACTTGCTTCTATCAAGGTGAAAACAGCATGAGGTACTTTTACATTTAAGTTTTGTTCTAAGGTAAGCTTATCCTCTTCCTTGACTAATAATGCCATGGCTGCAAGGGCCTTGAGGCACAGAGGTCGCCCAGAGACAACTGGGTCAATCTGCTTAGAGAGATAGGCTATTAGTCTTTGCCAAGGCCCAGATTCCTGGTTTAGAACTCCTAGGGCTACCCCGTTGTTCTCATGGATGAAGAGATTAAAGTCCCATGTCACACCTGGTAGCCCTAGTGCTGGGGCCTCAGTGAAAACACAGTTACGATTCATTAACAGAAGCAAAATTACAGTTATGAAGTAACAACAAAAATAATTTTATGGTTGATATTCATCACAACATAAAGAACTGCATTAAAGGGTCACGCCATTAGAAAGGTTGAGAACCACTGGCCTAAAGGGATATTCTCCCATTCTTAAAACTGATTGAGAACCTATTAGAAATAAGGCAACCTCCCAATCCAGGGATCCTGGTAGAACACAAAGGACACTCAGGAACCAGACAGAGAGGTAAACATCTTTACTCCTGCAGGAGGGTGTGCAGCAAACACAAGGAATGGCAGCACACACACCCAAACAATCTGCTTGAGTTTTATCCCTGACATACACCATCTGTCCCTCACTCTTGATTGGCCAAAGCTTAGGTTCACATTCTTGCATGATTGGCTAATTCAAGGACAGGAAGGAGTTGACCTTTACTTGTTTCAAAATGGTGGCCGCCAAGTCATGTGAGTAAACATGGTGGCTGCTTAAAACTTCCTTCTTTTGACAGATTAGTTGTTTATTCTCACAAACCTTACCTATGAAACCAGACAAACAACGGGTCCAGGCTGCCTGTCACTACTTGAGCCAATTAAGCAGAGACATGGTTGAATTATACATGAGCATTTATTCTAATACTGCCACAGTATGGGAGAGCAGGTCACCCACAAAAATCTGCTCTGCAGCCCCCACAAGCCAGTTGCTTATACTGGATAGAACAAAGATTACATGGGGAAGCAGGAATCACAAGCCTGGGAAGTAGGCAAGGTGGGCTCTGGGGTGGGGGAGCTCCATTGTTTGGGCAACAAGGTTGTTAATATTTCCATGCTTTGGGATAGACCACATTCCAAGGTGGACTCCCAGGTCCAAGGTTGACTCCCAGGTCCTGGGGACATACAACTTCCAGACAGGTTAGAATGGGAGGCTTTCCTTAATCAGTATAAAACAATCACAGTAAACAGAACATAAAACAATTTATTTCTTATAACTAGTAAGTATTTTCCAATATTCTATTTCTGCCCCTAACACCTATATCTCCAAAATCCCTTCATTGCAACACATAAATTAGTACTTAAATTAGAATAACTGGGAGAAGGTATGTATAGCAGGGAGAAGAAATCTTAGGGCTATCTTAGAATTCTGCCTACCACATGCGGCACCCATATGCACCATTCCATCCACATTTATTAGATGGCATTCTACTTTAAGAAAGACCTTCCCCTTTTTTACCTTTCTCTGTTCTTTCTGGCAGTACAGACTAAAGAATACTTTTAATGTAGTATTTCTTAATCTGGCAAAATTCATTTTCCTTCTCTCTGTTTGTAAATCTAGTTTTCTTTTTTTAAAAATAAATATATCTTAATAATTTTTTACAGAAAGGAAGAGAGACGGAGAGCAACCAAGGTACATGCCCCTGACAGGAATCAAACCTGGGACCTTTCGGTCTGCAGGCCCACGCTCTATCCACTGAGCCAAACCGGTTTCGGCCAAATCTAGTTTTCTTACTGGGCTTGTTTACTGTCTCTCTCCCGCATCTCTAGCAGCTAGCTTCCCGCCCCATCTGCAGATAGGGGGTCTCAAGGAGAAGAAGGAGGCAGGGCCCAACCTATGACTTCCAACCAATTCCTTTGGGTGGAGTCAATGTTAGGCTAGAAGGTGGAGCCTGGCTTTATCCTTTGAGTCTGGGAGGAGCTTAGAACCCCAAAACCACACCCTCCTGTAGGGACAGCCAATCAGGATTTTAGGTGCTGGTTTCTCCCTTTGTGAAGAACCAGATTGTGACGGTTTAGTTTGGGTCTTGGGATTCTGGCTAGAGCAGGGGGAGGTCTAGGGGAAGTGGCTCTCTGATTTCAAGACATTTGGGGTCTTTCTTTGTCTGGGTGGAAAGATCATGCACCATCCGAAACCGGGTGATGCCGCAGATGCCGCAGATGCCGCAGATGCCGCAGCCGCCCCAGCCGCCCCAGCCGCCCCAGCCGCCCCAACCACCCCAGCCGCCCCAGCCGCCCCAGCTGCTGCAGGTGCCAAAGAGGCCCCAGGCGCCGCAACTGTCCCACCTGAGGAGGATCAAAAGCTGCCAAAGCCTACACAAACAGCTGAAGAAGTAGCATTTTATGCCCCGAATTACATATGTCTGACCATCCTGGCCATAATTTGTTTCTTTCCCCTGGGATGTCTAGCTATGTACTTCAGTTACAAGGTAAAATAATGCGTAAGCTATGACCCATCCTGTCCTCTAACTGCCCCTTGCATATGCTTCCTTCCTGGGACCTGGGTTGGGGTTTTCCCTCAATGGCAGCAGGTCTTCAGCCATTTCCCAATGGTTTCACAAAGCTGAATCCAGAAACCCACATCTAAAGCTCCCATCCCTACAGACCATGAAGGCTAACCAGGAAAGCAATTGGGAAGAAGCTTACATCAACTCAGGCCGAACTGGTTGGCTGGATGTATTTGCCATACTCATCGGTTTAGGCCTCCTTTATGTCCTTGTTCTGTATGTATGAAGACCAGGCCCAGTGTCCTCGGGTCCACCCCAACAGGACCTGCCCCCAAGGCACTAACAAGTCAACTCAGCCACCATGCAAGAAACCAACAACTGAGACATCCCTAACCTGGAAAGCCACCAGCCAAGGAACTCAACATCCAAGCAATGCGCTAGCTCGGGAAAACCATACTACTATGTCCGTGTGGCCTCCAGAGCTGACTTCTTCCATCTTGGAGGTCCTCAATTTCATGCCCTTTATGCTCTTAGCTCCTTGATACTGGGCTGCTCTTTCAGAAAAAAAATTTTTTTAAACCAATAAAATGGAAGGGAATGTCCCAGCTTTTCATGTGTCTATGTTTCTGAGTCAGTGTCTGTGTTTCACGAGGGCTCCCTGTTTACCAGACCATGTGATAATCAGAATGCCCTAATGGCGGAGCTCAGGGGTAGAGAGGCGTGGACAAAAGGGGCCACATGTTGACTTGACAGGCTCAGGGGAGGCCTGCCTGGTGGTCTTGCAAACTCAGAGACCTAAAGTCACCACAAAGGATGGGGTCTGAAATTAAACTTTAAACGCAGTTATGATGGACAGTTACATCAGGGCCAGTATCTTCACTGACAAGGTCAACCTTTACCTTAACTGTCTTTTTGCATCTATGATAACATATCCTTGAAATGTCTGGGTAATTGGTAACTTCCCTTTTTCTGGATCTCCTGGGGCACAACCTGATGTGGTGGGCAGACACCACAAATTCCTTTATTATCATGTTAATTGTTTCTGCACCCCCCTAAGTATGTGTCCATCATTTCACTTTTTTTTATCCAATCCCAGGGGTTTTCCCAGCTTTGCTTTATCCCACCTCCTTAATCTATCACAAGTGAATTTCATGTAACCCATCTAGGGTCGCTCCTTTGATGGCAATGTATAAATATAGATGTAGCCTGCCATTCTCTGGAGCATTATCTCAACTCGGGGAGGTTCTGCTTCCTGGCATATGTTTGGCTCAAATAAACTCACAAAAATTCTTTACAGATTTCAATGTTTTCTTTATGTTAACAGAAGTCAGACAGATTGTAGGTTTACATCTCATTTTTAACATTTAAAAACTGTACATCCTTGAACAAGATAATTTTCTTGAGCCTGATTCGTTTGTAAAATAGACATAATAATTGTCAATGTGGGGTGATATTTAGAAATTTGAATCACTATTTTCTAAGTGTTTCTGTAAGGTTTGAGGCACAAGAAATGAGTCAAAGTCCACCAAGACATATTAAAGGAAAGTTTATTCCCCAGTAACGAGCAGGACTCATTTCAGAGGCAGAGAAATCAGAATTAAAGGAGAGGAGAGGAGAAAGGAGGGACCCAACCTGGCTGACTTCACAGATGGAAAGAGAAAAGCAGCACAGGCTTGCTTTCTTGTTCGGGCAGAACACAGAACCACCCTATTGCTCTGATAGCCCCAGTCAAGGAGAGGCCGGACTGTCAGGCAGTGGGCAAAGCTCTCTCAGAGGTGCATGAAGCCAGCAGCCATTACTGAGGGACTCAGGAACCGGACCATCTTAGGGAGGGGCTGATGAGAAACCAAAGCTTGTCTGCACCACCCCGAGACTCCATCCCATCCAAGCAGAACACAGAAGCCCTTCCAGTGGCTAGCTTTCTTGCTCGGGAGAAAAAGAAAAAGAAAAAGAAAAAAAAAAAAACTCCCAACTGCACTGAGAGACAACTCTGAGCCGGGAAAAAACTGGCTGTCAGGGAGCAGACAAAACTCAAGAACAGCCTTTACCCCAGAGGTCCACACGCCTACAACCAATCTTGTGGGACTGACGGGGAATCAAAGCTTGTCTGCACCACCCGAGACTCCGCCCCATCCAAGCTGAGCACAGAAGCCCTCCTAGCTGAGACACTGCTGATCCTCACAGCCAATTGGCTTGGAGATCAACACTTCCCAGGGATACCAACAACAAGCAAGGCTTAACAACAAGACTGCACACATAATCCACAAAGGGATGCACCAATACTGTCCACTTCAGATAACTAGGAAGGCTGTGCTACTGGCCTCTACCAGGACACCTAGCACACAAAACTAATCCATCAAATCATGGAAGCAGCTAAAATGCAGAGAAGAGGCAGGACACAAAGGAAGAAAATGGAGGAAAGTAAAAGAATGGACATTGAGTTCAAAACTACAGTTATAAGGTTTTTCAAGAATTTCTTTAAAGAGGCCGATAAAATAAATGAGACCTATGAGGATATGAAAAGGGATCAACTAGAAATAAATAATATGCCAAAACCGTTTTGGCTCAGTGTTAGAGCGTCGGTCTGCGGTCTGAAGGGTCCCAGGTTTGATTCCGGTCAAGGGCATGTACCTGGGTTGTGGGCACATCCCCAGTGGGCGGTGTGCAAGAGGCAGCTGATCCATGTTTCTCTCTCATCGATGTTTCTGACTTTCTATCCCTCTCCCTTCCTCTCTGTAAAAAATCAATAAAATATATTTTAAAAAAATAAAAAGAAAGAATACATTATCTGAAATAAAAAAAATATTATACAGAGTCCTGAAAACAGAATGGAAGATCGCAAGAATCAAGTCAAAGATTTGGAACATAAAGAGCCAGAAGACACTCCTCCACAGAAGCAAGAAGACAAGAGAATCCAGAAAGTTGAAGATAATGTAAGAAACCTCTGGGACAACTTCAAGCGCACCAACATCAGAATTATGGGGGTCCTAGAAGAAGAGAGAGAGCAAGATACCGAAAGCCTATTGGGAGAAATAGTAATAGAAAACTTCCCCCACCTGGTGAAAAAAAATAGACTTATAAGTCCAGGAAGCGCACAGAACCCCAAACAAAAGGAATCCAAAGAGGCCCACACCAAGACACATTATAATTAAAATTCCAAGAGCAAAAGACAAAGAGAGAATATTAAAAGCAGCAAGAGAAAAGCAAGTACCGTGTTTCCCTGAAAATAAGACATCCCCTGAAAATAAGACCTAGCGCAACTTTGGGAGAAAGAATTAATATAAGACACTGTCTTATTTTCGGGAAAACAGGGTAGTTACCTATAAAGGAGCACTCATACGATTGTCAGCTGATTTCTCAATAGAAACCATGCAGGCCAGATGGGAATGGCAAAAAATATTCAAGGTGATGAATAGCAAGAATCTACAGCCAAAAATACTCTACCCAGCAAAGCTATCATTCAGAATCGAAGGCCAGATAAAGAACTTCACAAATTAAAAAAAAAAAGCTAAAGGAGTCATCACTGCCAAACCAGAATTATATGAATTGCTAAAGGGGGTTCTTTAGGAAGAGGAAGATAAAGATAAAAATTATGAACTGCAAATATGTAACTATCAACAAGCAAATCTACAAACCAAGGGAACTAAAAAATCTAATAAATAAAATTAACTGGTGAATATAATAGAATCAGAGGTATGGAAGGGGAGTGGACTGACGATTCTCAGGGAAAAGGGGTGTGGGGGTGCGGGAGGAGGTGGGGCTATAAAAATGTCAAGTACCAGGGACAGAGTAACTATAGACAGGGACCCGGGATAACAAAGGAGCCATGCAGGATGAATAAAAACAGTTATCTAGGCTGACACCATGACAATAAACACCCAGGACTTCCATCTGGTCCCCTTGCTTTACAGACAGTCCCAAATTCATACCCAGAAATCCTATACTTAGCAGAATTAAGTTTCCACAACAAAAGAGAATGCAGATTATCAGCAGAAAATTTAGTATCTGTGGAAAAGACTGCTCCTTACTACAGGCCATCTCCTTTCTCCTCAGTCACATTTCCTCGGTTCCTCTGTATCGCTCTATGAAATATGATCAAAAATCATGTGTGAACAATGAGACAAAGGGCCGGAAAACAGGACACAGGCTTTATTAGAGGAGAAGACCACTGTAGGGCTGCCTCCCAAAGGAAGAGAGCACATGTGCAGGGGTGGAGGCGCCTTTTGAGGGGAGGAATGGGAAGGGAAAGGAAGGGGCTTAGGGTACTCTGCACACACTGATTGGTGGTTTCATATAAGGCACATGATTAGGCACTTAGGGACTTAGGAATGGGAGGGGGCCTTAGGGTATTTGGTAGGTGCTGATTGGTGGTTCAATGTACAGTCCATATAAGGTGCCTGGTTAGGTGCTCAGGAATGTTTGGGCTGCAGGTGGAGTTTGCCTCATTCTGTCCATCAGTTGGGAGAAGGGAGGATCTATCAATGTGTGCCACAAATAATCCTGGCATTTATTCATTTGTTTGTTTTTTTGTTTTAGCAGTGGACGTAAAGTATAATTAAGAAAAGCCATTAATAGTGCAGACTTTATAAAATGAAAAACTACTCTGTAAAAGAATTTGTTCAGAAACTAAAAAGAAAAATCAAAACTGGGACAAAATCTTGGCAAAACAAACCTGATCAAAGATTTCTGCTCAAGATATACAAAGGACTCTAAAACGAAGAACCCCACTAAAAATGGGTAAAGATTGAAACAGACACCTGGCCAAAGTAGATATACAATGTGTACAAAAAGGGATTCTATGGAAAGTGTGGGCGAAAGGAGCCACATGCTAACCTGACACGTTCAGGGCAGGTCTGCATGGCAGTCTTGCAAACTCAGAGACCTAAAGTAACCACAAAGAATGGTCTGAAATTAAACTTTAAAAGCAATTATGATGGGTAGTTATGGCGTAGGCTGGAATTTTCCCTGACAAGGTCAATCTTTACCTTACCTGGGCCTATTGTCTTTTTGCATCTACGATAACATCTCATTGAAATGTCAGGGTAACTTGTAACTTTCTTTTTTCCAGACCCCTCAGGGCACAACCAAATGCCCTGAACACCAGGATAGATACGCAAATTCCTTCATTGTTATTGTTATTGTTATCATGTTATTTTTGATGGTTAATTATCCTGTACCCACCTAAGTAAAAGAAGTATGTGTCTATCATTTTACTCTTTATCCAATCCTAGAGGTTGCCCCTCTCCCCCACTTTGCTTTCTCCCACTAAGAGGGTTAGCTTGAAAC